GCCAAAACCAGTCATTCATAAGGAAAAGTCTTAATTAACAATTTGGGTGGGCCCATAATTTGGGTGGGACAGAGTATCAGGGGATCACTAGGGAGGGGCAAACAGTGTTATCCAGGTTGATTGAGTCTCAGATATGGCACCAGTCTGTTGGCTTTGTGGCTGTGTGGGAGGAGGGCTCAGAAAAGGGCCAATGGACTCTGCCTACCTTTTTGCCTGGGATGAAGTTGTCCCCCAGCTCACATCTTGGTTCTAGACACTTTAGTTTCTTCCCACATGCCACTGATGCCTTTCAAGCTGCTACCCCAGTGCTGGAGCTCAGAGTGAGTGTATCTGAGTAAGTCTGTGTGTGGGTTCTTTAAGGGTGACTGCTTGGGACTCCAGAAGTTTCTTCCACTGACTCAATCCCTACTGGTTTTTGCAGCCAGAAGTTATAGAGACTTATCTTCCTGTGACTGGAACCCTGGCCTGGTATGGGGTTGAGACTCCTCACTCCTGAGATATCCCTCCTGAATTTTTATCCTTCACACATGAACGTGGGACCAGCCCATTCTGTGTCTCTTCCCCTCCTACCAATCTATCTGAGGGATATGGTTTCTTTAATCCTGTAGTTGTCAGACTTCCACTCAACTCAATTTGTGATTGTTCTAAATGATGGTTGTTCTATATTTTAGTTGTAATTTTGATGTGGCTGTGTGAGAAGGCAAGCCATGTTTACCTATGCCACCATCTTGACTGGGAGTTAGTGTTTTATTTCTTACAGTGACTGTGTGTTGGCAATGAGTTCTCCCAGCCTTACTCTGAAAATATCTCTACTTTGTCCCATTTTTGAAGGATATTTTTACTGGATATAGAATGTTAGCTTGGCAGGTTTTTCCCTCCTTTCAGGACTTTAAAAGATGTGTTTTCTGTTCATCATTGTTCCTGGGAGAATTCAACTATCATTGTTATCATTATTTCCCTGAAAGTTAATGATTCCACCCCACCATCTGGATGCTCTTTTGTAATTGATTTAATTGGGGTTATATTGGTTAATAAACTTGCATAAGTTTAATATGTACAATTCTATCATGCATCACCTGTATATTGTCTTGTGTGTCTATCACCCCAAGTCATGTCTATTTCCGTCACCATTTATCCCACCTTTAATCTCTCCTGCCTCCTACTACCCATTTTTTTCTGGTAATGACCATATTGTTGTCCATCTATTAGGATTTTTTGCTTTGTTTTGTGTTTGCTTAATCTCTTCACCCTTTTTACCCAGCCCCCTACATCCTCTCCTCTGACAGCTATGAGTCTGTTTTTATTTTATTTTATTCATTATATTCTACATATAAGTGAAATCATACAAAACATCAACATGATGAGAAGAGAACCCACTTAATGGGAGAACATGTTCACCAATACACCTGATAAGGGGTTAATATCCAAAATTTATGAAGAACTTATAAAACTCAACACCAGTTAAAAATGGGTAAAGAACCTGAATAGACACTTCTCAAAGGGAACATACAGATGGCCAACAGACATATGAAAAGATGCTCAATGTCACTAATCATCAGAGAAATGCAAATTAAAACCACAATGATAATTACTTCACCCTGGTCAGAATGACTCTCGTGAAAAATCAATAAACAATAAGTGTTGGCATGGATGTGGAGAAGAGGGAACCCTTGTGCACCATTGATGGGAATGCAGACTGGTATGGCCACTGTGGAAAGCAGTATGGAGTTACCTGAAAAAGTTAAAAATGGAAGAGCTTTAACTCAGTGATTCCACTCCTTGGAATTTATCTGAAGAAACCTGACATACTAGTTTGAAAGAATATATGCACCCCTATGTTCATTGTGGCATTATTTACAATAGCCAAAACTTGAAAGCAACCCAAATGTCTATGAGTAGATGAGTGGGTAAAAAAGTGGTGGTACATTTGCAGAATGGAATACTACTAGGCCATTAAAAGAAGGAAATTTTACCTTTTGTGACAGCATGGATGGACATGGAGAGCATTATTCTAAGTAAAATAAACTAGTACATGTACAATGTTAAGCAATTATTGTTACTATCCCAAAGAACTCAGATTCCCTATCTTTTTCAACTTTCTTTCCACCTTCTTTTAGTTTTATTTGGATAATTTTAATTGACTTGTCTACAAGCTCATTGATTTTTTTTTCTCTGCTATGTCCTATCAGCTAAGTCCATTGAATAATTCCCATATCTGTTAGATTTTTATTTCTAACATTTCTATTTGTTTCTTTTTATAGCAGCTCTCTGTAGATATTGTCCATCTGTTTATGCAGTGTCCATCTTTTACTCACTATATATTTTAACATGTTTATTATGGTTAGTTTACCGTCCTTGTATGACAAGCCCAACATCTGGTCCTCAGTTTGCTTTTACTGACATTTTTTCAACAATAGCTCACATTTTCTTGCTTCTTTGAAGGTGTCATTATTTTTAATATTAGACCTGGCATTGTGCATAAAAGAATAATGAAGAGGGAGGTAAATAATATTTACTTCCAGAAAAGTGTATTCTGATTTTTCCTTCAGATCCCTAGTCTCACAACACCAAAGCTGGCAAGGATGTGGAACTACAGGAACTCACATGTAGAATGAATGAGTGCTTAAGTTTTACAATGACTTTGGAGGGTGGTTTGAAATCCTGTGATAATATTCAAGATATGTCTACTCTATGACTTAGAAATTTCACTTCTGGCTCCACCCTAGACACATGTACAATAATATTCATAGCAGTGTTGTTGATAAAACAACCCCAAACTGGAAATGACCCAATGATGTGTCCCTGTTGTCATCGGCAGAAAGGATAAACTGTGGTATTTTTATAAAGTAGAATCTTATACAGCAATGAAGTTGTATTAATTATAGCTGCATTCAACATAGATGCATGTTATAAACAAATTTTTAAAAGGAAGACAAAATATATTATTCCACTTAAAAATTTAAAAACAAGCAAAAAACAAAACATATTTCTTATGGATGCATGCATATATAGTGAAAATATAAAGGAAAGCAGGAAATGATTAGCATAAACATTGGGATAAACAATGACCTTTCATGGAGAGGTGGGGTTGAAGTAGGAAGGACTGTATATATCAGTGGCTGCTTTGCCAGAAAATTTCTATCTGGTGATCTATGTGATAATTGTACTGGCATATGGGTGTTTTAAATTATTTGTTAAACTATACATGTACACTTTATATGTAAGTAATATATCTGTGTGTATGAGAGAGAGAGAAAGAGAGAGAGAGATTGAGAGAGAGAGGGAGGGAGAGAGGGAGAGAGGGAGGGAGAGAGGGAGAGAGGGAGGGAGAGAGGGAGAGAGGGAGGGAGAGAGGGAGAGAGGGAGGGAGAGAGAGATTGAATCTTAGTTTGATTTATGTGGTCCCAATATTGTTCACTGAAGCAGGCATTTGTCAGCAACAATAAATATTTTGCTTAGAAATTTAAAGAATACATGTCTTAAAAATGTGGAATGGAGATGAGAAAATAACCATTCAGTTACAAGAAGTCATTATTGTATCGTTCAGAGATCCACAGGGATAGAAATGCTAAAGAACTGGTGAGCTGAAGCAAATCCATTTCATACAGTGGCTTTCTTACCACTCTTGATCTGTGCTGAATTTTTGTAAGTTCATAGTAACTCCTAAAAAACCTCTCTGTTTTCTCTTAGAAGTAGATGAGATCAGTACAGAATACCATAGTTCTGTGTTTTCCAACTGAAGGCTTTCTCACTATGCAGGAAGTGAATGGCTCACATCTATTCCAGTTTTGCTATGTTTTTGCAGCTATAAATTTTCAAAGTACGGCACCAGAAAGGGATAACAACATAACTCTGAGTCATGTTTGTAGAAGTTAAAAAGTACATATTGTTAATTCAGGTCCTCAAAGCTGCTGCACAAATACTTCATTCTTGGTTTTGTCCTTCATGGTAAAAAAGGCAAACTATAATTTTGTAGCTATGTATAAAAAATCCCTGACTTTAAATGGTATGAAGAGTTTGTTGTGAAATGTTTAACTCCCCTCAAAACAAACAAAAATGAAGCTAAAATTACATCTTGTACATACATGCACAAAAGCTCCCAAAAAAACAATTTCCTATAACTGCACAGTGTGGCTTCATGTTCTCAGAAAGAAAAAAAGACCTGTATGTTCTGTATGAAAACAATTACACTAAGTATTCAAGGAGGAGGAAGTTAAGGAACTAAAAAATCCTTTCAAGGGAGAATGAATAGCTAAGAAAGCTAATGAAGGATCTGGAGAGCATTATGCTAAGTGAAATAAGCCAGGTGGTGAAAGACAAATACCATATGCTCTCACCTATAAGTGGAACCTGATCAACAAAACAAACAAGCAAGCAAAATATAAACAGGAGACCTAGAAATAAAGAACAGACTGACAGGTAATCAGAGGGGAGGGGGAGGGGATAACGAGGGAAAGAAGGAGAAAGGTAGTCAAGGAACGCTTATAAAGGACCCATGGACAAAGCCCAAGGTGGGTAGGATTGAGGGTAAGAGGTGGGAGGTGCCGGGGAGGGGATGGGGGAAAAGGGAGACAACTGTACTTGGAAAACAATTTTTTTAAAAGGAAATTCATTATTTGTAGATGTAAAACAGAAAGTTAATGAAGGAAATAAATATAGGCATTCAGGTCATGACATTGCTAATTTGGAACAAGCTGTCTTCAAATATTTAAAATAATCATCCTGAAGAAAAGCACATTAAGTCACAGTAATATGGTTAAATTAGAGTAATGGTGTAAAATTAAGCAAGAACTAAGTTATTTATTATCTTCTTTAAAGGCAAATTTTGAAAATCCTTCCAGCATGATTGACTATGGTCAGAAAATGACATTTTAGGAAATTAATAATTTTCTGAAAAATGTTTATGTGGTTGGTTCTTTCTAGTTTAGAGAATGACTGTTAGTTAAAATCTCTTTGTTATACTGAAGAATTTCTGCCCCTTCTCTGGAGCCTGCAGACTTGTTTCATGAGGCCAGCATCTCCAGTTCTCCAACTCCAGTTCTCCTGTGCACTCCTGCAGCTAAAACAAGCGAAGCAGATCAAGAGAACTCAAAGGAAAGGACCCGAAGGTAAGCTTCATGTTTTTGTTCCTTTAGTGTGCAGAACTCTTGGTGAAGAGATGGGAGATATGGATCCTAGACACTGAATAATTTAGAGTAAGACACTCAAATTTCATAGATCTGTTTTGGTTGTTTTTTTTTTTCCATCTATAAGCTAGGAAAATATCACAAAAATGACAAAACTGAAGCTATCTTACTTTGGACACATCATGAGAAGGCAGGGTTCTTTGGAAAAGGCAATAATGGTGGGAAAAACAGAAGGTTGCAGGAAAAGAGGAAAATCAACTATGGGGTGGGTTGACTCCATAAAAGAAGCCCCAGGCATGAGTTTACAGGAGGTGAGCAGGGCTGTTGAGGGCAGGACCTGGTAGAATCACTCATTCAAAGATTGCCAGGAGTCGGAGCTGACTCAATGGCATGTAACTGACACAAAAGCTAGTGATAAAATTACTTATCTTGCTTACTCATTGAGTTATTAAAAGGATCAAATAATGTGTTCTAAAAATACAACGTAAATTATAGGATCATTATTACTGTGCTCTAGAACAACTTCATGAGGTTTGTTCCACCCCTGCGTTCCCAGAGTCCTTTGTTCCTGACTCAGCCATGACCTTGCTGATGAATTTCCAGGCCCTATCGTGGAGACAGCGATAGGATGGCAATGGTAGTGAGGTGGACAATGGGAGGTGAAGAAGCTGAACAGCAGTACCAATAGCTCAGTTACTCCAGATTACCAGCTACACCCTCAGTTAAGTTCATAGCTAGGAAGTAACTTTCTGACAATTATTATGCAATAACAGCAGAATTTCTGAACAATTTTTTTCTAGCTCTGAGTTATGTTATTCTGATCTCTAAAATTAAGATTTAGGATTGGTATGAAGGAGGGTTCTTACTCTGAAACAGTCACCTCTACTGGGAAGATCTCATCCACATTGTTGAATTATAAAATGAGTTAAGTACAGTGGAATTTCAATGACCAAGTATGGCTTGAAATAAGCAGGACTCTATAGGTTTCACAATGGAATCATTGTATAAAATATACATCTTTTAATGGAAAAGAATGTGTAGTGACAGTGTTTTCTAGACTTTTCTGGGGCTGAACACAGCTCCATATTACTACTACAAGTGCATGATTTATATAGGCCTGAACATATAATCACTTTAGAATGAAAATTTCCCACTTTTAAGAGAGTTCACAGGCTAAGAAAGGGACACTTTGAGGTTAAGGAATGTTAATATGTGTGGAGGCACCAACAAAGTTGTAAACCAAGACTAACCAGACTAAATTGTCTTACTACCAGTTTCTCAACAACAGTGCCATTGGCATTTGAACTGGATACTTCTTTACTGTAGGAGACTGTTTTGTGCATTGTATGATATCTAGCAGCATCTGTGGCTTCTACTCACTAGATGCCAGTAACTTTCTCCCATTTGCCAAATGTCCCCTGGGGGGCAAAATCAATCCCAGTCGAAAAATCACTGCACTAAAATCATTAATTTAATTTGCTGCACAAAAATATTTTTTCTGCTACCAGAAATTTGCTCTGATAAAGGACATGCTTTTCAAATAATCAACAAATTTCAATTCGCGCTAATTTTACAAACAATTATTTTGTGGCTTTGCAATTTACAAAATACTTCTACATGCAATATTATGTAAGTGAGAAAAGAAAAGGTTTCAATATTTATTATTCACTATATGCTGTCTTCTAAAGGACATTCTTCAAACAGAGCCTTCTAGTTAAGTCTCAGCATATCTCTCCTTGGGAGATGCCTCCATTTTATAGATGAAAAAGCAAACTTAGAGATGTTAATGATCTTTCCCAAGAAATGAAGATAATCTTCGGACTTTACTCTTCTTTGTTTCACATCACCACTGTTAGTGAGACACTGATCATTTCTACTTGAAGATGAAAATAGCAATTATAATCTATGTGTCAGAATTAAGCTATCAGGTCAGTCTTTATGCTTTTCCATTTTACAATTTGAGAGACTGGCCCCAAATCACCAGGTTGCAGGCATGTATCATCAGTAAAAAAAAATCCAATTCAGTGTCCTGTAACAAGCCAGTTAAAATGCCCAAATCAATCCATGCTATCTCCGGGTTATTGAGTTCCATTATGCTTCCATCTGGCTGATTGGTAATATACAGCAGCTGGGTAGCAGAGTAGTGAGAGTAGCAGATGTTACTGGGGATTTGGAGCAATGGAGCAGGTCTTCACTGCAGCCACCTTGGAATTAAATATTTGGAATTAAATATTAAATACCCCATTTGGAATTAAATATTAGATACCCCTTTGGAATTAAATATTAGATACCCCTTTTCATATAAGTCCTTCCACCACTGCCTCTCCAGAATGCACCCCATTTTTTCCAGGCCCCAACCTCCCATCACACAGCTTACCCACTCCTCCCCCTCAGGTATCCCCTCTTATTCCCTGATTCTCTAGATCCCTTCACCTTTAGCTCTTCTGGGAATTTAATTACCTGCATTTACAGGGCAAAGCAATTAGCTCTCCACTCCCTCCTCAAGTTGAGGTTCACCTCTGCATATTTGAAAATACATTTGTCACTTTGCTAAACAAAAGGCAGCTTCTCAGGAGCCCATCCCCATGCAACACTGAAGAATTGGCAGATTTTGCAATTTCTGTTTTTCTCTGGTCCCTACCCCACCTTCATTGTCCTTCTCCCAGCTCCATAAGTAGAAGACTTCAACACCGACATTTATTTTCCCATTGATAAGAATTATCTAGCCACACCCCATGCACATCTTGAAAGGAAGCAGTGGTTAGTCAGTTTTCATTTTCTTAAGTAGTTTGTACTGAAATATAAAACACAGACTGAAAAGTGCAAATTGATAAGTGTACATCTCTGTGAATTTTTATAGACTGAACACACCTGTGTAACCAGTATCCAGAACAAGAAAGAACATTACAAGCCTTCCAGAAGCCTCTTTGTTCCCTCTACCAATCACTGTAATATTTTCTAATGACAGAGTTTGCTCTCACAAGAGCAATCCGGTGAGTAACTTTTTATTACTGCGTTGCATTCAATCACAAGGCACACACAATTGTTTATATTACTTGTACACATACCATTGAACATGTAGTGATTATGTTAATGTTGCAGTTTAGGGGTTTGAAAGGGGAGAGAAAACCTTCCAGATCCTGCTCCTGGAACTCCTCAGAGTCCCATCAGTCTTTCCTAGGTGGGGTTCTCTCCTAGTCACCAAGAGTGATGAAGTGATTACAGCTCTCCCAGCAGAGCTCACATTAAGTGCATGTAAAACTCTGGCTCCCAGAATCACCAACACTACCACTTTATACTGTGACTGTCTCAACATGCATGAGATACCAGACTGGTGTCACTGGGAGAATTCTCTATCCCCGTAAATCTTATTCCTGGCAGCACATGTCAATTCTGTAAAATTACAATAAAGAAAGCTCATGCCCACCCTAAACCAATGACCTCAGATTCTCTTGAAGGTCATCCAGCATTGATAGTTTTAAAGTTTTAGGTATTTCTAAAGGTTGAAGAGCATTGCAACTTTCAACTTTTTCTTGGATCTCCCTTCCATTTCTACTGTTAGCATATCAAGCAATTCTAATGACATTCTCAAGGTGACTGAAAATTTAGCCCCAAACTTGATTGCCTCATTACCTTTTAAACATAGGGTAGAGAATTGGGTTGTTTTTTTTCCCCCAGTGAAGGGACTATCCTTCAGTTGTCACGGACTGGAAAAAACCTATATTTTCCCTAATTTCCCTCCATTGAGCACTGGGCGGGAACAGTGAGATCACCTGAAACCCCTGTGATGAAGGTGTGATCACTAGAGTTCACTGCCAGTGGAAGCCACAGCTGCACTCGTTTCAGGACACGCGGGCTACCTAAAGAGAGCCGCATACACAAGCGCTCTGTCTCTGAAGTCAGTTTTATTGTCAGCAATCATCCATCAGTCACCAGCTATGTTTTGGTAGCTTGTGAGTTGCAGCTGTGATGTGAGGGGGACAGTGAGGTGAGAAGCCTGGGGCTGCTCAAGGTGGCTGGCAGGGGAAGAGGTATCCCAGAAGTTAGGTCTGGAAGGAGCCTGAAGAGAGGTGGAGGTATTGGCTGGTCTGTGGAGGACTTTTCTTATGATAAAAATCAGTCCCTGTTTCCTTGCATGTTATCATATGCCCTTTTCTCTGGATTTTTCTACCGTTAGGAAGTATTGTATTCCAAGAGATCTTCCTGGGACTTGCTTCCTGCCTTCAGCACCAGAATGATGCAGTACCCAAAGGATGGGCAGTAACTTGAGAAGGCACCCCAGAGGCAACATGTCACCTGGCCTGAGCCTCCTGCCCAGATATGAAATTAGCTCCAAATATATCTGACCCCTGTCATACCCTTCCCACAATTTTCAAATAAAGTAATGGGACATTCCACCTTTTCTTCCTGTCCCTTCTCTTCATGTTATTGTACTTTGAACACCCCCGACCCCCCAGTCCCCTGCTGCCTCCTTTCAGTTTTTCTTCAAGTACCTTTTAACCTAATACTTTTCTGTTTTAAAGGCTAGGAGAATGGATGTCAGACTAAGTGATTTTCTTCCAAGAGATGCCTTTGCTAGAAAAAAAAGTGACCCCCTGATAAACTTTTCTTTAAGCTCCAACTTTGAAACCAGGCCAAAGGCAAACCATTCTCAAGGCATCTTTACATAGTAAAATCCCTGGGGAATCAACAACATTGATGGCAGTCCTGACTGATGGGATAAGCTGAATTAATAACAATAGCCTTCATCATTGAGGGATGGCTGTTCAACAGACACTGTATATTCATCATATTATATAATATAATCGACCTTTAAAGGCAGGTATTGCTCATCTCATTTTGCAAATGAAGCAGTCAAGGCTCAGAACCTCAAATGGCTTGCCAAGGGTTACAAAAACAGTAAATGAGTGAAGCTTTGCACCAGATCTGTCTGCCTACACCCTGCCTCTCATAAACAAAGTTCATCTAATGCTTCTCAGGTACCTGGTGCTCTTAGGCCAATACTGGGTTCCTAGAATCTCCCCCGTTACAAGCCAGCTCAGACCAGTTCTCCTTCAAGGTCTCACATGAAGAAAGGTACCTATTGCCCTCCTCCCAGGGCCCTGTCCCTTTTTAGGAGATAGCTACCCAAAGTATGTGATGAGTTCATCTTTGGCTCTTCCTGGATAATACCTTTGCTCTGTGAGAGACGTCTGAAAGCAATGCCTTATCCAAGACCAACACTGATGGTTGGGATTATAGGCATCTTGAAGAGAGGAAGATACAGGTGCTTTTAGAGGTTTCCTGAATGGGTCAACCAGGAGTCTTTGCTCAGCAAGCAAGGGAAACTCAAATTCAACCTGGCTTCAGGGAAAAGAAGATACACTAGCAAAACTGAAACTTTGGAGGCGGAATGATGAATACAAAGCTTTGTTGAAGTAGAATACAGCACTTTAAATGAACTATAGCTATCTCTCACAACATAGTTAAATCTCCAAAACATCACACTGAACAAAAATGTCAAGTTGCAGAAGTGTCTGTGCATTTTGATAAGATTATAAAGTTTAAAAATCAGTAAAAGAAGTTTAAGGATACATAAATAGTAAAAAATACAATGTCAGGTATGGGCATGGTAAATACTGAATTTGATAGTGACCATCTCTGGGGCGAGAGGAAGGGTCAGGCAGGAGCACACACATGTCTCAGACCTGTCTTTAATGCTTACTGCTTTATATTAAAGATACCTAAGGTATGATGTTTAACATATTTGACAAAACTGGGTGTTCATCGTATTATTCTCTACTCTGATCTGTATGTTTAAAATATTTCATGGTGTTTTTTCAAAAGAGAATTTACGGGCTCATGGAACATAAAGATCTGAAAGTATGGCCCTACCCAGAGGATCAGTTTGTCAGGAGCTCTTTTTCTCCATATCTTGGCTTGACTTTCTTCTCTTGGGGTTCTGTTCTTGATCAGGTTTGTATTTATGATGGCCAGAGGGCTCCCAGTAGCTCTAGGCCCATGTGCTAACCTTTCAGCCTCTCTTACAACAAGCACTTCTCCTGACTGTTTTAGTAAGAACCCTATAGTTTCATCCCATTGAGTAATGTGCGCACCCATGAATTAAATCATTTTAATGGAGGGAGGGAGCTGATAGATACACCATGGTTATGTGCCATCTCCCGAATTGGCGTGATGAGGTATCAGTTTTTCCTAAATGACATTAAGGAAGGTGTTTCCCAAGGAAATTAGGAGAGTGCTAAGAAGAAGAGGAAATACATTTGGAGTCATTAGAAACAACAGATGTCTACCATAATGAGTCCTTCCATACACACACAAAAATTATCTGTATGCTTTATCTATGATTATCTTACAGGAAAATATAAATCAGTCTCACTTAAGAATATATTTATATATGCAAACTCATAAGTGAAATGCCAGAAAATATAACTGAATAGTATATAAAGGAATATTTTACTGAAATCAATCAAGATGTTTTATAGCTTAGAATATTAGAACAAATGTATTAGCATAATGTTTTGCATTAATAATTTATGAGAAATAACAAATAATAGGTAAAGCTATAGCTAGTCCCATTAAAATTAAGAACTAGAAAAAGTGATGATGATTATTATCATTATTAGTTAATTTTAAAATGCTAGTTAATGCATTAAAGAAGAGAGCAGATATTAAAAGTATCATAAATAGAAAGTGGGAGAATTGTTCTACCAACAGGAGACCAAACCTAGCAAAAGTGGACAGATTCAATATAGTTTATCAACAAGCAGAATCTGTTCTAAAGGACAAGGACACAAACTTGCTTTGGAACAGGGACAGTGGGGGTGTTAGTTACAAAGCCAGGTTGTTCTAAGAATCATCTCAGAATCAGAGGAAAAGAAGAACAGGACCCAGCCCACAGGAAGAGGCACTGGTAGGAGTAGAACTGGAAGCATGTTCCAGCCAGCTGGCTTGCTATACCCACAGGACACTGAGTCTTCAAGTGCTCTGGGTAGAAGAGAAACAGGTAGGAGCTCAGACTTGCCATGTATTGTATTTGTCAGCACCTGTTGGTACTGGAACTATAGACACACCTAAAGTAAGCACACTTAGGTGAGAGCTGCAGGGCAAGAGATTTTGATGTAATGTTGGGCTGGCTGATCATTGGTTCAGGAGTGGGAGAGAGCAGGAAGCTTATTCCTAAATGGATACTTGTTTGACAATACACCCGGGTTGAGAATGGTATGAGACAAACCTTGACAATTCCCTCCATATATACTGAGGATTGTGAATGGTATACCATAAAATAAATCACTGTTTTAAATACATTAATGAAAGGCATTCTGTTGAAGTTTGAATTGTTGATATGGTAGATGATCCTTTGTTACTCAATAGATCTAGCTTTGGGAGTAAACTAGAGGGCCAGAAATCCCAGTATTCAAAAGCCACTGGTCAAAGGGTCCAGTTAAGGTAAGAGAGAACGAGCATGGTCCACCCCTACTCTCCCACCAAATGAAGCTGTAAAGCCTGGAAAGAATGTATGGAGCAGCAGCTATTTGAAGACTCTGAAAAGTACACAGTAGCATGTGACTTGGGAAAGAAGGCCAGGATTTGAAATACCACAAAGCCCGCAGTGAGTTTACCACTTTCCTCCCATCCCTCCTGGCCTAAGCTCGATGCGCTGGAAGTGGGCAGTGGAGCACAAAAAGACAGCTCTAGAATTCCTCTGGTGGTGACTTGGAGATTGAAAAAGATGTAACATCAAAGTTTGAAGAGAGTTTGGAAATTTAGGTCCCTCTTTTTCTTTTCTTTGTTCTTTTATGCCCCAGCCTCCAAACAATCCTGTGGCAGCCAAAGCAGCCACTGGCAATAGCAGGCAAAACATAGGGAGAAAAGCCTTCCTCTCTGTTTAGTGAAGATAGCAACACATCAGGGCCAACTCACATTGCTCTGTTTTCTCCCTTGGTTCTACCACCATTTGACAACAGACATGAATCAGTTATGAAAGGGCACAGTATACCAGGTTAACTAGAACCCTAACTTTCTGGATGGAGGACTGAGAAGAAGATCTGTGGGGAATCAGGAAGTATTAGGCAGGTTACCAAGAAGAAGGAGCTCAGAGAAACGGCACCATGCATCTGTTCATAAATTTCTGAGCTAACCCCCAGGCTCACATGGTTGGGCCTGATCCTATTCAGCAAACCAACAAGTCTAAGAAATGGACAAAGAGATACATCACTGCCTGTGTACTACATTGGCCACTGAGTGGTACATACACCAGATAGGTCTGAAAAGCTCTTCAAAAGCTCTGAAAACTGAACTTAGATATAAGAACCACAGTTGACAGAAAGTGAGTTGGAAATTTTTCCTGAACCTAGTCAAACAGCCTGCTTGCTAAAACAAAATATCAACATTCTTCATAGGTTTTAAATAAGACTCAGTGTCTAATAACATACTATTCAGTATGTCTATAATATAATCCAAAATTATTAAGTTTACAAAGAATCAAGAAAATTTCAACTCAGAAAGTCAATGAACAGATTCCAATGCTGAGATGACATAGACCCTGAAATTATTTGACAAAGATGTTAAAGCAACTATTTTAAAATACAATAACAAACACGCTTGACTGGGAAGCAGACAATATAAAAAAAATAATATAAAGAAGCAGATAGAAATTTTAGAACCAAAAAAAAAACACAAGAACAGAAATAAAAAAAAACTCACTGGATGGGATTAATAGCAGAATAGATATGTCAGGGGATCAATAGAAATTATGGAATCTGAACAACAGAGAGCAAAAAGATAGGGAAAAAACAGAGCATAGACTGGGGACAGTAGTAAAATTCTAACACTCATTAGAACCTATCAGGCAATAGTCTAACATGTCATCAAAATCTCAAAAGGAAAGAAGAAAAAGAGGTGCAAAAAAACTACTTGAAAAAATGGCTAAAAATTCTGAAATATGGCAAAAGATGTAAACCTACAGGTTTAAGAAAATCAGCAAACCCTTAGCAACAGGATAAACCCATTTCTAAATATGTTATAACTTGAAAACTTCCATTGCTGTTCATTACCTATAAAGGGACAATGGATTCAAGTGGCTATGAATTGTTTATCAGAAACCAGGGAGCCCAGAGAGAAGTCAGTCAGTTTACAAGTGCTGAAAGAAAAGAACTGTCAAACAAAAATGGTGTATCTGGTTTTAAAAAAAATATATGCAATACATATATAATATATAAAAATGTATTATATATATTTCATATATATGTGTATATCCTTCAGGAATAAAGGTGAAAGAAATATAACCTTAGTTTAGGAAAACTAAGAGTATTCAT